AATTTAAATGCCATCAACCGAAGTCATGAACGTTAGAGGTCAACAACATAAACATTACGTTTAAAAAAATGAACAAATAGTTCATGTATTGAGAATGCACTATTAATTCAAATTTAACTACTCCTTCAAAGTAATGGAATGGCCCACTTTCCAAAGTCGGAAACGCGTCCCGGGACCCCTTTGTGTGTACACGTGATTTACTTTCTTATTCTAGCTCTGACTGCAAATCAAAGCGATCCTCAGAAATTATGGCACTTAAGCAAAACGCCAAAAATCGAATGTATGAACCAGGGCAGTTTTTGAGTACTGATTTGAGAAGTTTGATCATCGAAGAAGTGAAAAACAGAGGACATGTTGAGTCCGGTGAACTCCCTCGTGGAACATTGGCGCATGTTGGTAGGAAATTCAAAGTAGACAAACGTACAGTGAAGCGACTTTGGACAAGATATTGGCAAACTGGGTCCTTCCAAGCTAAGCGTCGTTCAGGTGGAAAGGACAAAATTCTTGGAAGACAAGAAATCGTGCTACTTGAAGGCCTTAAGCGAGAACGACCGTCTGTTTCACTCAATGAACTCCGGGACGAGCTGCTGCAATTCACACTGGTGACTAGCATCTCATTGGCAATGGTTTGTAGTACTGTGAAAAACGATTTCAGTGACAGTAGCTGGTCAAGGAAAAAAATGGCAATCACGCGAGGAGAGATTTACGGACCGAAACTTACGATACACCCAGGCATACTTGGATTACATCCATACGAAGTATCCATACAGAATTAAATTCATGGATGAGTCTGGCGTGAAAGTGAGTTGCGGTCAGCCTAAGTATGGACATTTGAGAAAAGGAGAACCGTGCGTTGAAGTCAGTCGCTATGCGGCAGGTGGTGTCAACTTCACGATCAACCTACTAGTTGGAGCTGACGTCGTCAAGTACTGTAGCATTGTCGAGGATCCATCGAATACCAACCGTTTCATCAATTTGTTTGTTGAAGCAGTGGAAAATTATACCGATGACGGACAACAGATCTTACAACCTGAGGATTTTGTTGTCCTCGACAACGCCCCAATTCACCATAATGAAGCTGAGGTTATACTTTCTAACTGGTTTGAAACGATGAGCATCGAATATATTTTTTTACCCACTTATTCCCCAGACTTCAATCCCTGTGAAAACTGTTTCGGTAAGATGAAAGAAATACTCAAAAGGGAACATTATCGCCGTCTCTTGCATGATAATATTGCGGTCGCCGTGTATGATGCTGTCGGCGAAATTACGCCAACTGACATTGTCGGTTATTATAACCTGACTGGATATCTCCAAGTCTAACTTTTTTGTCTATGACATAAACCAAACGGCCCTTTTCAGGGCCACTAAATATTCAAAAAAGAGAACTACCGTAATACATTGCTTGTGTTTGTGTCTGTTTGGTGGTTATGTGTGAGTTTATGTAGTACTAGTATATTAGCCCTGCGTACAATGCTGTGTGTTAGGGAATGCGTCCGGTTGATAGATGTCTTTCACCATAGCCCTGCGTACCTTCCACGTTGTACGTAATCCCTTCTTAGACAAGCGTCATTAAGTACACATTGGTGTGTACATGTTTTGTTTATTTTACGAGTTACTCCTATCAGACTTTATCTCAGTTAAGGTTGCAATGCGGATGCTGTACCTGAAAGAGCTGTATTGTTATTTGCATACTGATTATTAAAATCTAACTTAATTTGACCATTGGCAAATATGGTATACATCAGTCCCTCAACTTTGTCTGTGTATACATGTATATAATATGATATCTTTGTCTTTTCAACAACTACCCAATGTGAATACAAATTTTCCAAATCAAAGATGCAGAAGATACAGGCTTATTACTAGTAGAATCTCAATGTCATGATTCAAATCTGTGTATAATTATTCTACGCATATTATGTAGCGAATTATTGGTATTCTAAATGAACTGTTTTCACTCCTGTTGTATCTTAACCATTTACCTACACTGTACATGTACTTGGATTAAAAGTTGGTACATGTATGTTGTTGAATGTCTGATGATAGTTCTGTGCATACATGTAGTATTTTTTTTACCCATGTGCAATGTGTAACTAATGCATAAATGCATAGGGGAATGTCTACTTATATTTTGGAACCAGTGTGTTTTCCAGCAGTACATCAAGAGCAAGACTTAAATAGTAATTTTTTGTTGTTCAATCATGCACTATACAGGTTGAATAAAATGTTGATGAAATGTTTAATTCACTTCACATGGGAGCTCTTTCTAGAATCTCTGGTTAGTCATTAGATTCCTCACTCGGAAGTCCGAACAGACTTATTGATTAACAAGATTTGCAACTGTTATATTTTAAAATATAAAATTAAAATTAATATATAATCGTTATTTTGTTTTTATTTTCAGGTTTTCATTTGAGTGGTACAATTGTGGAACCAGGCAATCAACTTTATTCTGAACCAGATAGAATTTTTAAAGTGTCAATTAGTTTTGACCGATGTAAGATTACCTCGGTGACATGTGGATGTGACAACAAGGATATTTTCTGGTGTCAACATGTTGTTGCATTGTCATTGTACAGAATTCGTAAAGCGGACAGTGTGCAGCTTCGTGTACCCATATCAGAGACTCTCTTACAAATGGACAGAGAACAACTTCAAAAGTTTGCTCAATACCTCATTTCTGCACATCATACTGACGTTTTGCCCACCGCTCAGAAGCTTGCCGATGAAATTCTTCAGTCAAAATCCGAAATTAACCAATTACCAGGTAAAATTATATACCATCCCAGATCATGTTTGTGTTATTAGTAATATTGGCCAAATGCTCGTGTGGATTTCTATAGACCAGGTATTCATTGGTATGGCTACTTCAATTGGAATTGTACAGGTATACTATAAGAACCAGACTCAACACACCACAATGTGCAGACATCTATTCTCTGTAGTGAACATCCAGGAATTTTCACCATCACCGCAACTGGTGAAAACTGTGGCCGAAAACTCTCAATAAACTGTACTTTAGGCTATTTGTTGAGACTCTCCTGAACAGTGTAACAAGATTATCCCTGCAACATACTGTAAAAGGGGTAATTATTCACTGGGTTTTAATTTAGCTTATTTCGCTGACTGGAAAATGCGCTAAATTAAAACCCAGTGAATATGTAAAATTTAGTATAGAACACATTATCTAAATGACGAAACCGTGAATTTAAAACCCACTGAATATGCCTGAAATGGTAAATCAGTGAAATTTAAACCCAGTGAAAATTAGACATTTTACAGTATATAAATTTGGCTGTTCACGATTGCCTCAAAGTTGAATTTGTGCTGTTTTCACCGGCTCTTCGACTAGCAATTCACAGCGTCCTTTGCTAAGCCCATAGAAATACATGGTACAGTGGTGCGCGTCTTAGCAACATAGAACATTCTGTGACGTAGATCCGCCCTGGAAGTACTTTGTGCTTGCATACAACATTTACAATGTGCAAAGTCTAAATAACAAGCAGAAATGCTTCATGATTATTTTTGTTGGTAGAATCATTAAAACTAAATCCAAATTAAGCTCTGAATGGTAAAACTCAAGTTCCTTCAGTGTGAACATTTCTAATGAGCTACGTCTCTTCTGTGATGAATGTTAAAGAATGGTACTTTCCATATCAATTGACCAATAAACAACTGTTTTAACTATGTTGTGCACAATCCCCAGACTTTCACTAAGCAGCAGGACTAATGGTTGGAATATAATGTCTAAATTGAGCGTAAATTATACAATCGCGTATCAGTCAGATAATCAATGCAAAATACAGTATGGCCAAAGACTTGACTTCAATGTTCAGTCCTTGGTTTGAATCATATTTGAATCACACAACAGTTGAATCACATAAATTAATTATTCATTTTTGACTTGGTAGCAGTGAAACTATCATCTGCTTCTGAAAACAATTGTATTTTAATGCAAATTTTCATAATTTGATGGCAATAAAAGTGTTTTTATGGACATTATATTGTGAAAACCATGTAACTTCATACTGTGACCTCGGTGAAATGTTTCAAAATTTTTCCTGATTTTTTCTGACTACCAATTTTATATGTTGTGTCATAAATCATGATTTAAGTTAACTGATTACATATATTTGTATAAACATACTTACATCCACAAATAAAATCAATGGTGAGGTCATCTTAGGTGATGGCAAAGTCATCTTAGGTGTGCTATGCTCATATTCAGCTTCGTGGATATACTGTTAAATTTCACTGTTTTCATATTTTAAGCATATTCATTAATTTTACATATTTACAGGGATTTTAATTACTGTATTTGCTCTATTAGTAGCACATGCACCTATGTAAATTAGAGATTTTTCTTTGGTCAAAATAAGGAATATTTAAATGCGCTGCCATTAAAGATGCCAATCTAATAAAGCAAAATGGTAGCCAATTTAACTTTTTGTAAAAAATTCAAATAATTAAATTTACAGTAAGTATGTGTCAATAAAGTTTTAATATGGAGTATTGGTTTATGATAGGTGCTCCAGACCCTACAGCAGGTGCCAGTGTCGATGATGATAACTGTTGGCATTTAGATGAGGAACAAGTCCAAGAACAAGTTAAAGCTTACTTATCACAAGGGGGTTATTATGACTCAGGGAAACAACTTAACTCCATGTTTGCTAAGGTATGTAAAATGGCTCTGTATAAATAGGATACTATGATAATTTGATGCTAATTAAAACATGGCTGACAATAACCATTTTCTTTTCTCAAAAATTCTGTTTTGTTATATCTTTAAAAACGCCAGAAATTAAAACATTCTAGTAATACTAATTGGTTCGCCCTTAGGCATTCATTCAATGTGCTCCCCTGGAAACAAGCATAGCATAATGTATAACGTGCATAACAATATATCTTGTCAATTTACCTCTATTGTATTCATAGTTATGATAATTACCAGGGGTAACGCATCTTTTTTTATCTAAAACAACAATAATTGGTCCCTACTCTGTAATCTAGAGATACCCCATCCTGATGTATTTATTTGTACATACCTAGATGATTTGTCAGAGCCATATCTGTGAACGCCCATTATTTATTGCATGTATTCAGAAATTCCTGTATAATATTACAGTTGAAACGTATGTGGACCATATCATATCATATCCTATATTGACTTGTTATAGTGAGACTAAACTCACTCCTGTATGTTTATTCATATTAGAACGCTAAATCTGAATGATAATTTTTCTAGGTCCGTGAAATGTTGAAAGTTCATGATTCCAATGGTGCTAGAATGTTGACATTGATTACGGAACAATTTCTGGCTGATCCTCGTCTCTTACTATGGAAACAACAAGGAACAACAATGACAGATAAATGCAGACAGCTATGGGATCAACTTGGTAAGTACATCTTAGTCTGTGACTAATAGTACTTAATCATAATGTATCATGTAAAATTGTTTTTAAATATGTTAATTATACTTGGTGACTGGAATGTCACGTCAGATTACAATTTCAAAGTATATTTCAAAAAAGTAATGCAGTTATCATTGCAGTTCAAAAACAGTGCAAGCATATCAAACATTGCAGTACACTATAGGACAATAAATACTACCAGTAAGTGGCAGGATGTGTGACCTCTAGAGGTCATGCATAAAGCCTATTAGTGTGCTCCTTCTGTGTTTCAGGGAATCTAAAATTGATTGCTTGATTCAGTATCTGAAAGCTCTCACTCGGTTCGTTATTATTGATTGAAATGTCCCATGTTTCATAATTTATTCACTCTACTGATAACTTGTATGTCTGTGGACATTACAGGAATAGATTTCAGATTTTACTTCATTTGTATTATTACCATATTTGCTTCATTAGTAGCGCAATCGTCTATGTGAATGACAGAGCTATGTCTGTGGTCAAAGTATGATCTATACAATAAATGCAATTTTTAGTGTGTGCGTTCTTTTCGTAAAGCAAACATGGTTTTCGTGGAAAGCCATCTTTACTTGTTGGAGTCATAATATATGTATTAATTCTCTTAGGTGCTTTGTGGATGTGTGTGGTATTGAACCCCCACAGTGGGAAAGTAGAAAAACAACTATGGAAAGAAAAACTGAAAAAATGGAGTGATATTGATGTCTGCCCACTAGAGGATGCGGACACTAGAAATACGCTATCTACTCCTGCTATTCATAATTTTAATAATCCAGGTGTGTTATAGATTGTATATACATGTGAATGGATTTAATTATTGAATTCTGGTAAAACCATGAAATATTGTAGCATTTTACCTTTGATCTCCAACACATTTAGTCATGGTGACTGTTACCAAATGCATCATGTGTATCAGATCACAATAATTGATATCATGAAAACAGTAAATATTTAAATTTTTCTGCTAAACATGAACACTATTACCGTATTTATCCGGGTATAAGCCCAGGGTCCTGAATATGGAAAATTGCCAAAAATTAGGGGTGGGCGTTTGCCAGGAGATCCCCGGCAAAAAAACAAAAATTTGTGAAAATTGACAACACGCAGATAGAACGGCAAATGAAAACATGCAACAGAAATAAATGAACAATATTCAACATTAGAAGTAAAATAAAATTAATGTATTGCTTATAATGTGACAAATAAACCAGAAGTAATAAAAATCAACAGTGAGGAATCATTTGAATTAGGATTTTCCCGCCGACAAACACTCCCAATATGCGTGAACTCAAAATGAATTAAAATGTCAGGGGTTAAACTGGGTAAAATGATTTCCGGTCTCGACAAATTACGAATCAACTGTCATACAAGATCAATAATAATTTACAAATTTACACTGTAAAAATTATAAAAATTCATAGCTGTTTGAAAAAACGTCTCAGATCTTTATTTGTACGTTCATTGCCGTCTTCGTCAAACTCAAAACCCTCAAAGTCCAAGTCGGCGTCACTGTAGCTGTTGAAACAAAATCCCTACAACTTCTTCCTGAAGTTCGTCGATATCGTCCCCCACAATTTGGACTTAGCACTTTTAATCTACGGATTTCGCAGTCTGTCAGCTTGGCACTTTTCATTCATGTCTAATCACAATAAAGAGACAAGAAAAATGGGGTCGCTCTGCTGCGATGGCACACGATGCTTTTGTTTACAGTCTGGCAATCATCTTTGACCTTTATGCATCTGCTTTACTGATTGGATAAGAATGACATCACTACTAGTATTTCATCATAAAGGTCAAATCGTGACATTGCTTTTTATCAGACTCGACGCTTATCAATCACGGTGAAAGTTATGATTCAGCAAGTTCCGGCGGTTGGAATGTCTCACTATATGGATATAGCGGTGGACTTGAAATAGGAAGTTTTTTTTTTATCCAAGGAAAGAAGAATAGTTTTCATAACAGAAATGCAATAGCGGTGATGAAAGATGGTAAAAAAGTTGGCAGTCTTCGGCGTGACATTGCAAAATTGCTGGCCCCAGTTACGGATTCGCAACCGCTACCAAATATTTCATAAAGCCAAAACAACGTGATTTCAACCACTCTCCCAGGTACGGGTTGCTACAATATTGCAACATTGGTTTCCTTGTCGACGACGCTAAAGCCGAACGAGTGAGACACTTGCTTAGCGGCTCTCCTTATACGATTTGCTTGAATCGTTTCTAAGGAAGCACAAACCAAACGGCCAGCCGTGCTACCCTGAAGACAGAAAGCTGTTACGACTATTTCGCGTTCACCTCTTGTTTTACGCAATTAAAAATTATATTTAAAGAACTTTTATAAGCATCACAACAGACTTCAAAAAAATCAACTGTTAATACAACCACAATCAACGAATAGAAAATAGTATTTTTTTATTTTTTGTGTAGAGAAAGACCCCCCCTGGGCATGTGTTTTATATGACCTCAACTTCTTTATTATGTCAAAGGGGGGGGGGGGCGTTTGCCCAGGCATGGACTCTTACCGGGATAAATATTCACTGTTTTTAACATTAGCATATTTGATGTTATATTCACTAGATTCTAAATTTACTTGTTCAAAGGAAACAATATTCTGTGGTTGAATTTCAATTTACCAAATTTAGGTGACAGTGAACAAAGCAAAAACCAGCAAATATACCCTGTACTTTATGCACGTGCTTTCTCTTGTAGGCCAAAATAGACATATTTTTTTGAATTGATAAATAAATCCTTCAGATTACTTGTGATAAAATCTGGTTGTGAGTCTCTTTAATCTCTGAAATCATCAATATGACTACCAATAGGCATAGATAAATACCTAAGCATATCCAGATTTTGTAGTAGAATATAACAGGTGTTTCTGTGGTCAAAATGGGTAATATTTCAACAATTCTCTATTCATTAGATGTAATTTTGGGTTTAAGTTCACTTTTGAAGACCAAATACAGTGTAGTTTTTTTACATTTTGGATTTTGACATTGCTGCATTTGCAGTATACTGACACATTCTGCTCATGTGATTGGATGTTTATTTATTGTTTTTAATTAATTTATGCTTGACACAGGGTAAATCCAGAGCAAGGATTGAATCATTGTGAAATTATTTTGTCCCAAAAAGCTCATATATTTTGCAAACCCCCCACAGAGTTTGCTTGTTTTGTGATCAGATATAAAGCTGCTAATAAGTGTAATTCCATAATTAAGTATTTTATTCTGTTTCCAGGTGCCTCTACTTCGAATAGAGCCCGAACTATTTTCAGTCGTGCAATAGATGCTTGTAATCTTGAATGGTGTAATCCACATCTACAAAATATCCTCTCAGACGATTATTATCATGGCCATAGTAACAATGGAGCAATGTTTGATCAGCATGGCCAACCTTTATGGACTGGTAAGTCATATATCTTCTATCTGTACGTTGTTGAACACCATTTATTCTAGATTCAACAATCTGCTGTTTTACTTTTTTAGACTGGAAATATACATAAATATATAATTTTTTCTCTCATTGATGTCAGTAGATAAGATAGGATGGCATCAGCTTAAGCCTACGACTCAGATTGATTATCACTCATATCTGTGACATCAATCCAGGAAAAATATTGTGGGACTATATATAATGATTATGTCACTTTGGAGTTTGGAACTTAGAACAATTTTCTGACTTGAATATTAGTATGTAGTGGGTTTCATTATCAAGTAAAGTTGGTCCTCTGTTAGTCCACTCACTGAAATAGCATAAATACAAGGAGCTAAAAGACTGGGTACATTGATGTAATTGATGAGAATCAACTTCTTTATTCTATGCTTTTTTGAGCATCATATAATTTAAGCAAGGACCGCTTATTGTTAGCATGTAAATAAATAGCATTAGAGTTTTGAAATGGTTTTTACTTCTTTTTCAGAGCACTTACCAACTGCATGTGCAAGAGTTGATGCATTGAGATCACATGGTTACCCAAAAGAAGCATTAAGATTGGCTGTTGCTATCGTACACAATATGAGATTACAGCAGTTAAAGTCCCAGTCAGATAGACGTAGTCGTGTTGGAAATGATGATGATAATGACGATGATGATGACATGGATGATAGTAAGTAACGTCATTATCAACAATCACTGAATTATGTGTGTGTGAATGAAATAGTTTGTATAGTTACTGTAGTGAGTATTGTTAATTTTGAACTGTGCATAATGCATAGTGAATGCGGTGTAGGTATAAACCAAACAAAATAGTAATAATAAGTACAATAGAAATGTGTACATATTCAGTTCTCATGATAGTGACCTTTTGAAATACATCAAACCTAAAACGGTTCCAATGTACAGTCTTGTGACATTTTCTGAGATATAAAATGTTCTATGATTGATGCACATATGAACGAGTGAAGAAGAAATTATTTGTTATTTGATGTTCAAGATGAAACACAGCATACCAGTACTCAAAAATGCTCGACGACTCTGTAAAATAGTTCATAACTACATTATGTGATCAACTTTTTAGCTCCGCTGTCGACTTTGTCGAGCGGAGCTTATCATATGAGTGATTGTCCGTCGTCCGTGTCAATGTTTTACTTTTTTGACTTCTTCTTGAAAACTACAAGCCTGAATGCTTTGATACTTGGTGTATATGTACCTTGGGTAGACCTCTCTTAGGTTTGTTCATTTCATGTTGATATCTTCAATTCTCTAATTTTGGTGAATATTTTTGTCATTTTTGGTAAAAAGTGATATTTTCGACTTCTTGTTAAAAACCGCAAGTGCAATTGCTTTGATATTACATCTATAGGTACTACATGTGGACCTCTCTCAGATTTGTTCATTTTGTAATGATATCTTTAATTCTCTAATTTTGGTGAATATTTTTGTCATTTTTGGTAAAAAGTGATATTTTCGACTTCTTGTTAAAAACCGCAAGTGCAATTGCTTTGATATTACATATATAGGTACTACATGTGGACCTCTCTCAGAATTGTTCATTTTGTAATGATATCTTTAATTCTCTAATTTTGGTGAATATTTTTATCATTTTTGGTAAAAAGTGATATTTTCGACTTCTTGTTAAAAACTGCAAGTCCAATTGCTTTGATACTACATATATAGGTACTACATGTGGACCTCTCTCAGATTTGTTCATTTTGTGATGATATCTTCATTCTCTAATTTTGGTGATATTTTTGTAATTT